CTATATATTTTTTATATGTTTTGAAGGAATTTTGAAGTAAAAAAATATGATTTGTTCTTTCTTATGCATTTATTCTTAAATAAAAACCTATAATAAATAAAATTGAATATTAAATTTTAAAAAAAACGTCTTAATATTTTTTTCATAACATTACATTGAAGAAATAAAGCAATAATTAATATAAAAACTTATATGAAAATTAACAAATGAAACTTTTTTACTAACGAGAAGATTATTTTTTAAAATATATATATTTGATTTATATATATTTATTTATTTACAAAATAATGAATAATATTAGTATGCAAAATTATATTTGAATTATTAGGTTGTTATTATAAAATATTAATTCAATTGTTTTATTTAAAAAAATTAATTTTAAAATATTAAAAAATAATAGCAAATAGTTGGTATTATGTGTGTAGATGCATAATTAATTTCTCATAAAATTAACGGCTCTAATATTATTATTTTTTATATATCATGATCATACTCAATGAGTGAGAATGTGTAGCATAAATTAAAAAATATTTTAAGAAAAATTATATTGTAAAATATATATTGAAGTTAATAGAGTGCATTAAAAACTATAAAATTGATTTCGATAAAATTTGATTATAGAAAGAATAAGAAAATAAAATACATATATTCTATTTTTTAAAAATTGATTATATAAGAATTAAGCAAATAAAAGCAAGTATAAAAAAAACTTATTCGAATCCATACATAGAGAAAATAAATCATATTTATCAACAAAATAAAATTATATAAAAAAATAAGGATAAAAATTAACTTGATGAGAATTTTTATAATAAATCGAAAAGATCAATTTTAAACAATAAGAATAATATATATTTATTTTAAAATCTAAAAAAATATTGTATATATTATATAATTGTTGGTTTGTGTAGAAAAAAATAACGATTGATTTTTTAAAATTTTAACACCTAATTAAATAAAAAAAGAATATAAAATGATGGAAAAAAAGTAAAGAAAAAAAAAACCAAAGAAAAAGAAAAGAAAAGGCATGTGTGGTGCATCATCTAAAGAGATTGAAATTTTTATTTTAAAATTTTAAAGACTAAAATAAAATAACTTGAAAATTAATAAAAAAAAAAGAAGAAGCTAAACTACAATAAATGAACAATAAATGAACGTAAATTGTGAGGCGGTGAAGAGTTATTTTCATTGTTGAAAACCACCACCTGTTTTAGTTTTTTTTTTTTTAATTTATTAGAGGAAAGATGGGTTAATTGCATCAAACACTATTTTGATTTTATTAATATGTCTTTTGTATTTTTTTTTAATTCCATCCTTATTTTTTAATTTTTTTAATGTGATCTCTCATGCTATTTTCTGATAATTCTCCGGTTAAAATTAATGAATTGCTTTAAAAATTTCAAATAGCATAGCAGGTCATATGACATGGCATGTGGCAAAAAAAATTTAAAAAAAAAAAAAACTCAAAAATTAACTCAAAAAAAAAATCGTAATTAAAAACATCAAAACAATATTTTCCAACCTATCGCCTTCTCTCTCTAACAGAAAAATAGAAGAAAAAATTAAAGATGGTAGCTCGCTAATTCCTCGGCAGCCATAAAGACTCCATCGAGGGCTGTCACTTTTGTTGGTTTCATTCGTTGGGTTTGGATTCTGGTTAGCTCTCTATCTCCATTATTTTTTTTATTTTTTATTTTTTTGCGTTAATCGTATAAATAGAAGAAAGCTTATTTGTTATAGAGAGAGAAAAGACTGTAATTCAACACTTTTAATACAAATTTTGCATCTGGGCATTGTTTACAATTTAGATAGGCAGAGAAATATATATATATATATAGAAAGAGAGAGAAGAAGTCAAATCACTTTTTTTCCTTTCTTTGTTTCTTTTCTTTTTTTATAGAGTTTAATTGTTCTGCCTTTGGATTTCAACCTCACTCTCTCAATCTACCTCCCTCGCTCCCTCATTCTCTCTTTCTTACCAACACTTGCCCAGATCCAGGTATTCCATTATTTTCATTTGGGCTTCAACAAAATCACAACTTTTTGGCATGTCATACTCTATTTCTTTTACTTTTTACATGCAACTCATTGCTTTTTGCTTCTTTTTTTTCATATATATTAAAATCTTGATTTTACAGGTTTGTGGGTTGGCATATCATGCTCAACTCAGACTTATTGTTCCTGAAAAAATGAGTGAAGATGACAAATTGATTGAGTATGATGCTTTGCTTTTGGATCGGTTTCTCCTCTATCTAAGCCCTCATCCATCCATCCATCGTGCTAATTCGAAAACCATGTTCCCTCATTAGTTTTTTATTTAGGGATTCATCTTGTAATTGAAGTAGATCATTTAATATTTTTGCCTTCTTATTACTGCTACACGTGGATCTGAATTTTATAGTCGTGGAGTTCTGCATTATTTGGTCATGAATTTGTTATTGGTGGTTTTCATGTTTTGCCTACTTTGATTAATTATATTGAGTTGGATAATTGCTTTTGGTTCCCATTGTGATTTTTAGAAGAAGAGATTGCTTTGTTTTTCTTCATTTTCGAATTTTGTTGATTTTTTTTAGGTGGTAAATCAATCTGTCATGTCTTGCTACATAAAATTTTAATGTCAGCTATCAATTTTAATCTGAAAATTAGTTGGAAAACAATGAAAAATGCCACATTAAGAAAAAAAAAAATATATATATATATATATATATATATATATATATATATATATATATATAAAGACAGTTTGAATAAAAAAAAATTCAAAGTCACATTAGGAAGAAAACTAAAAGAATAAAATTATGTTTGATGTGATTAACCCGAAGAAAGATTGATGATGCCATGAAAAGATTAGGAGGTGCTATTTTATTATAAACTCCAACGAAATGACAGTCCACGTACTATAAAAGATTTACAGTATTTTGTGTGAACAATTGATGAATAGTATCACCTTTATATATATATATATATATATATATATATATATATATAGCATTTTAGGTTGCCCTACCACGTCAGAGAACAGCATCTCATGACAAATCACAGGTGATGTGTCGAATTGCATCCGGACATCATTTAGTATCCAACTATTTCTCTTTCTCTCTATGCTGCGTTTGTTTAGGAAAAAACGAGCTGTATAAGAAAATCAATTCATGAAAAAGTTATTTTTTAAAAAATTATTTTTTAAAAATATATTTTTTATCATTGGTAATTATATGAAAAAATTACTGAAAAATATATTCCAACGTTTGTTTGATACAAAAAATTAAAATATAAAAATATATGTGATTGTTATATCAACAAGTTTTGAGAAAATTTCAAAAAGACATATTCATAATTTCATAATATAAAATACATTTAGAAAATTTTCATAAATACTAACTCTAAAATTTTAATTCAAAAAATTAAATATACTTTTTTAACCATCAAACCAATTCATCAAAATTACTTGAGACAAAATTAAATCAATATTCACATTTAGTAAAACAAGATTCTAAGTAATCCTAGCATTGTTATTTTGGTAACTCAATTAAGAATTTTTTTTTTGAAATTAAACTAATAATTTATTTTGAAAAATAGTTTTATAAATTATTAGTTATCATTTATAGATAATTATTCATTTGGTCTCAAAAGATTAATTTTGGAATAATTTGTAACTAATTATTCACTACAATTACCAACAAAATTTTACAATCGATTAAAATTACAAATTATTGATTTAATTGCAAATGAATAGTTTTGGAAAAATAATTTATTTATTGATGAATTAATTATTTTTATTTTTATTTTTTACAAAAAATTGTAGTCTTGTAATAATAATTTCCAATCATTTAAGTATAGTTTAGGTGATGTTTGAGATAATAGTAAAAAAAAATAGAGATAAATTATTGAAATATTTATTATAAAAATAATTTTAAGGTGTAAAAATGGTTTTTAAGAATATTTAATGTATCTATAAATCAAAAAATCAAATATTAGTAAAAATAGAGAAAAAATAATTAAATAATTAATAATAATTGATAAGAAATAATTAAAAATTAATCTGATACATTTTAAATAAAAGGAAGATAGAAAAAAATTGTTAAAATATATCAAGAGAGAGGTAAGTAACACAAAAACAAAACAACTTGTGAGAAGGAAAATGTTTTCCTCTTTTGAAACTAAGAAAATATTTTTTCAAAAATACTCTATTATTTTTCATTGACTGAAAATCATTTTTCATTGATTTTTTTCTAAATACAAAACAAATATTAAAAAATAAAAAAAACAAATTCTTGAAATTTGTTTTCCCTCAAACAAATACAGCCTTAGTCTCTTCCAAACACACACTGTTGAGGATAACTTTTGTATAACATTATTGCGAAATTGATGCACTCGTTTTGAATTTACAAACGTCCATATTGGCAGCAGTTTTCGCTTGCATGAAACTGAGAAGCAAATTGCAATGTGATATCGAAGGACACGTTAGACCCACAACAATGCCAAATGTGAGGCATTGGCCAACTAAACGACATAGTGCACATGGAACACCGTTGGATTGAACCAAAAAAGAATCAAATCCCACGGCTTAAAATTTCAGGTCAACGGGAACACCGGAACTGCCCACGAAGAAGCAGGATTTAAGGGGTTGAAAAGGACCGAAACCGGGAAGAGAGGCGGTACAGGTTGGAGCGATATGCAGGGATAAGCATGGCGCAAAGTCATGACAAATGGACGATGGAGAGAAATTTATTTAAAAAAAACATATTAAATTATATATAAATTTATTTAAAAAAAAAATTCACATTCGTTAATTTTTTTTCATTATTTATTTATTTATTTTTTTTAGAAATGGGTCTTGTGTATTATAAAATTTCTGGAAGCACAAATATCTCTCCTGATCTGCCTATAAAACGAGGGCGTGCCCATTTCTTCCTTACTCGTTCAAGCATAAAGGCAGATAGTGTCAATCAGTTGCATATATATCGGTTTCTCCTAATTAATTAATCAATAATCTTTTCATCATGTCTTGCTGTGGAGGAAACTGCGGGTGCGGCACCGGCTGCAAGTGCGGCAGCGGCTGTGGCGGGTAAGAGTAAGACGATTATTTCATTTGATTAGTTAAGATCAGATTAGATGCTAAGAATTGACAGATTATGTGAATTTGCAGATGCAAGATGTATCCTGACATGAGCTTCTTCCCAGAGAAGAGCAGCACAGAAACTCTGGTTCTTGGTGTGGCACCAGAGAAGGCGATGTTTGAGGGAGCTGCTGAGATGGGCGTGGGAGCTGAGAATGGCTGCAAGTGTGGAGCCAACTGCACCTGCGATCCTTGCACATGCAAATGAGACAAGAGAGAGAGATCCGCATTCCGCTGCGTTGCGTTTAGTTGATCAGGAAATGATCATTATCGCATCCACAGATTAAAAAGAAATAATTTCTACTACTAGGCGTCTATGAGTCTCTGTATGTGTGTGTGTGCCTAATCTTGTTAAAGTATCAATAAAGTTGCTAGCGATCATGGCTTGTTTTCTGCAAATCTTCCAGTCTAGTGTAGTCCAACCGTTTTAGGGTTTGCCTCTCAAGTATCAAGTCGAGTCATCTGCTTGTATGATTAAAATGATAGTATTAAAGTTATTACTATGTATCTATATGTTTTATGGGATGGATGTTTCTGCTTTATCATGCATACATGTGATCTATTTATTCTCGAGCTAAATTGTGTATCAATCAACACTAAATTTTTATCATTTTCAATTAAATTAGATCAGCGTCGGATCCTAATTTCTATGATGGCTGAAATCTATGTGTGTATAATATATGAGTGAATGAAATCATTAACTGAATGAAAGAATGAACTCCTTTTATATCCCTAACGAGTCTTTTAAGATTTTTTTTCCCTTGTTTTATCAAATTACTATTAGTGGATTTTAATCCTTTTCTATTTAAGAAAAAGAAAATGAAGTAGCGGATTTTAATTGGGTTATTCAAAAAGAAAATGATGAAGAACCAGGAAAAGATACAGTCCTATCATCTCTTCTAACTGTTTGTGTTTATGATTTCAAGAAGATTTATTAGGTTAGAGAGTGACGTTTTCTTGAAAAACGTGAATCGGAGTGGTGGTAGAGATAATGAGTGGTTGGTCCGCTTGAATTTTTGTAACCACTCGTTCTTCTCATGGAAAGCGATTGTCAGAGGCCAAATGCATGACACGTCAATAGCAACAGAGTGGTGGAGTCATGCTCAAACCCTCGGCCATGGACGTTCTGGATTCGCCTACCTCCACTACTCTTCTTTACTTATCTAGATATTAGAAAAATTGTTAATTATTGCGTTATATTAATACTTTTTTCATATTTAAAAAAATATATTAGATAAATATTTTGGAATATATTTAAATAGGATGATAGATATTTTTTTCTTTAAATATAGAAGAAATACCGTGTTTGGTAAACGTGCGTGTCGATATGAAAAAAATTAATTACTTGCTTTGTTTGTTGATTACTACTAATTAAAGATAATCTTGAAAAAGTCGGGATAATCTGGAGGAAGAAAAAATCTGACAGCGAAAGCAATAACATAACATACCCAGTTACATTAGAAATCCTATTGTACAATCAATCAGATGTCTACAGTATTAAATTAGTCAGCAAAGGACTAAGGAATCAAGGACGTACATATTGTTAATCAAATTTGATCCAATGGCTATGGACCAATATGACCTTTCTGTGACCTACTGCAGCTGCACCGCACTTTCTTCTTGTTTATCGAAAATGCCTCTTGCGGCTTTGCTGAACATGTTGTAAACCTGCTTAGATGAGAGACCTATCTTCTCTAAATCACTCAGCTGCAACATGCCAAACCACACACATGTATATATATATGTTTAGCGGTTACTAGTCGTATATATCAACAAGACTAATGTATGTTAGTTCACATTAAGGTTTACAGGTTATGCTTACAGATTTTAAAGGGCTACTTTCCCGGAGTTCAACTATGTAATCTGCTGTTTTCACTCCAATCCCCTGCATCATGAGCAAGATGGGTCATAAGTGATAATTAAGTGAGAAGTCATAGAAGCCACATGATTTTTCAATCTGCACAGGGTTACCTTTATTTCCAACAGTTCCTCTCTGTAAATGAAATAACCAATTGACTAGTTTAGTTTCTCTGTCTACCAAGGGAAAAAATCTAAACAAAAAGGTAAGAGATTTGACCAGAAGTTACCTGCTAGCTGCGTTTAAGATGTCAACATATTCTTGCATAAGAGAGCTCTGCACATCAAATTTCTCGAAATCAGATCTTGAAGAAACTTTAGTGTACTTTGCACAGCTGATTCTTCTATTTTACCTTTAAACTAGAACTCATTGCACTGAATTTGTCAAGTGGGGTGCTGATTGTTATGAACTTGTCATTTGCAGGGGTTGCAGTTGAAGGCGTTTTTGGCTCAAACTGAACTGGACACTTGTAGCCTGTGGAGGCTACTTCTTCCTTACGGGGAATTTGGTTTACATTTGCATTGATGGGGGAGAGAACTTCTCTTAAAGGACTTCTCAGTGTATTCTTCCGTTCAGCTGTGGGTGATGATTCCAAGGAAGTTTCAGTAGAATCAGCACCAGTCTTCGTACTCTGAAAAAATTGAATTTAGATTCACAAGTTAAATACAAAAGTCTCCTACACCCCAACATCTCTTTTCTTCCGTGGAAGGAAAAAAGTCTGAAAATGACACAAATCGCTAAGAACTTACTTCCAAGCATGAATCAGTTAGACCTTCGTCATTAAATAAACTTCTGAATGGTACAGACGATCGCCTGCATAAGATTTAAGCATATTGTGAACAGCATACATCAGCTTGGGGTCTAACCATAAATCACCAATAGCAAAAAAAAACACATCATTAGGATTCGATTGAATTGGAGACTTTCAACAATCAGCTTACTGAGAATGAAGCCCGTACCTCTCTTTAGCATTACAAGCTTTCCAACACGTGTTAACCTTAGCTTTCGCAGAGCTGTAATTTGGTTTCTTGATAGAACTTGCTGGAAATGGAGAACCATATGCACCTATTCTTTGCGCAGTCTTTGTCTTGCCTTTAGATTCAAGCCAAGCTCGCAGTTTTTCCTCCATATCAACTTTCACCTTTGGAGTCTCTAGTTCATGGGCTGATGGCACAAAATTTGAAACGTCCCTTGACCTAGCGGCCAAGCTCACTGTACGAACAGATTCTTGGTACTCTCCTGGATTCTACCATGGACAAACACAAAACAACAACTTCAATTAAAATTACGTGTCCAAGAATGTTAAGAGCAAGTGATCATGAGATGAATGAATGCTCCTTACAAGGCAAGCAACCATCAGAGCACAACTGGCTCCTCCAAGAGAGTCCTGCAATATACGAGTCAATTTGCTGTCTCGATATGGTACTCGGGGTTCTTTGTTGTTCAGTGCATAGATCACATTAGATAATGCAAACAACGACTGGTTGATTTTAGAACTCTCTAGCAGACGTATCCCTTCATTGCAAGTCCTCCTGTTATCTTCATTACCTGATTAAACAACAAATCCAAAATGAGAAACAAAAAAAAAGTTCTAGATAAACCAGCTCATGGTGAATTTGGAGGAGGTGTTTTGTAGATAAGACCTGCCAAATCGATGAGGTTAAGCTTCCCAGATACAACATTCCCAGAATCACCACCCCAAGGCATGGAGACACCTATCACAAGAACCCCATGACTCCTGCTAGAGACATCATTGATACCTGTGTGTGCAGTTTTCCGCCTCTGAACTCCACGAGAAAATACCTCTTGAAATTCAGACATTGAATTGACTGGGACTCGAGATAGTCCCTTGAGGTGCACCTGCCCATCTTTATCATCCTGAATAACAATTTCTTTCGCTCCGACTTCTAAAAGATCATAACACCTTTCCATATACACTTCATAGTATGAAATATCTGCCCTACTTCCTGTCCTCTGACATATAGACAGGATAGTGGACATGGCCAGTGGCATTAGCCCTGGCAACAAGTTGGTACCCTGCAGCATCAACCATGTCTCAGTGGCCTTAGACTCACACATAACAGTGGAAAAAACTCAAAATTCACTAGCTGCTAAATCTCAAGTGAACAAATGCATATGCACTGAACACCAATGCTACTATATTTGCTAATGACATCCCAACAGCAGAGCAACTTAACTCTTCTAGGTCACCTCAGATTAGTCTCCAACCAATACACCAAAAAGGCCTAATCTATCAGAAAATTCTCAATTAGGTCTCCACACCCAGATCCGTCGAATGTTTTCCATCTGAAGTACCTATTTATTGCAATAAAACGACGCATTTTTAAAAAAATTTAACTTTTTCAGTAAAAAAAATTACAACGATTTTTGACGGAAGGAATTGTTGAGGATTTGTGATAGGATGGAGACCCACTTGAGAAACTGGTAATAAGGAGGGGACTCATCTGAGGTTTAATTTTTCTTTCTTTCTCCTTGGGTTTCTCAGCAACCAAACAAGTAGTTCTATTGGGAGCATACCTGCATAGTGTAGGTCTTTCCACTGCCAGTAGCCCCATAAGCAAAAACTGTAGCATTACGGCCCCTGAACATCCCGGGAATTAAAGGGTTCACTTCTCTCTCAAAAATGGAGCTAAGATTGTTATCCTCTTGACCAAAAAAAGAATCCAACTGATAGCACTCATTTCGGCTGCACATTTAAAAATGAGAAAAGAAACCACAATTAAAAACCCACAAAATTATTAAAGAAACACTAAACGAAAAGGCACTGACCTGGTGTCAGGATCTTGAAGATGAACAGTGACTTCATCTCTGCAGTCGGAATCTGGATTAAGAACAGAAATACAGGAAGTTGGGTTGCCATTTTTTGAAGGAATTTCCTGAGAGATAAAGGGGCGTACCCTTACAATGACTCTAACCTTAGAGGTGCAGCTGGGATCCATGGGTTTTGTTTGAAGGGATTTGAGTGTTTTAACTGAACAGCTTTGAATTTCCATTGTTAAAAACCCTAGAAATCTTGGAAAAAGAATGAGCGATTTTTGCAGGGAAACGGAGGAGGATTCGAGGGATAGATAGAGAGAGAACAAAGAAACTGAAACGGTAGACGAGGTTCAGGAATTTGAAAGCATTCGACCGTTGGGTTCGATTTAACTATCATGAAGATGAGAATTGGGCCTTTTTATTTATTTGAACTATTTATTTCGGATCAAGCCTCGTGGGCCCACTAAGGTTACTTTATCATGTGCATGTCATGTGACTTGACTTAATTAACACTAATTGAACAGAAACCTAAATTTAATTAACAAAAGGACTCAATTAACTCTTCAATTTAGCTTAAGGATTCATGGCATTAAATAATTCTTCAGGGACTATCTCTAATTTGACCAATAATTTAAGGAGGTTAATCACATTTTATCCTATTTTTAATTTATATTAATGATATCCCTTTACTCTTAATTTTGTCATTAGTTGGCCCTTCTATCAACAATCTATTACAAACAAAACGGTGTTAAATCATTCGTCTCCAAATACCTACTACACATATTATTTAAATAACTTTAGTAGAATATTCTTCATATTCTAGATAAATTGCCTTTTAATATCATTAAAATAAAATGATAACTCCTAGTAAAAAATCAAACATGTTATGAAACAAATGGTAACAATAATATAATTGAAGAAAAAATGATAAGAAAATGAATTCACTATGAAATAAAGTGAATACAAGAGATAAAAACTCAAAATAATCTCTCAATCTCTACAAAATACTTGTACATTAACTAATGAATAATCAAACTTATTTATAAGTTTCAAAATTTAAAAAAGACTATGAACAATTAAAAGTAAATAAATTATTGAATTAATTGTAGCACCCTTTCAATTGCTCATATTGAATGATAAATTGAATCATATGAGTAGTGAGACTATAAAATGGTCATGAACATTCATTATTTTATAACATTCGGGAGTGTTATGAAATAATAAACGTCCATCGTACAAGGAATATGTCTCGTTAAAATCTTACTAAGAAAAAACTCGGTGGGAAAAAAATTATACTAAAGAAAAAAGAGTACTATATTTCTTATACTTATTAATTTCTCTCGTTAGGGCTCCACTTGTTGAAAACATTATTTAAGATCTTTAAACTACGCCTCTCTTGTGAACCATTTTTTCAAAAACCGTGGTAGGTAATGCCTTAGTGAATAAGTTCGTTAGATTTGTCACTTTGATGTATTCTCTCTTTAATTAAAGTATGCAAATAGCATTATCTTTATATAATATTATTGAAACTTCTTATGTTGGTAGATAAATCGCATGTCTTTTGGATATGATAGATCGTTGATCTTAGCCAAACACATTCTCAACTTGTCTCTTGAATTGGTATTTCCGCATGATTTGAATATTTAGTAGTTATAGTTTACTTCATAGAACGTCATGATATAGTTGTATCATCATGTGTAAATACATAACTCGTTTGTGATTAAGTTTTGTATAAATCAAATAAATAACCTATATATGGATAACCAATTAAACTCGATTTTGATTTATTTGAGTAAAATAAATATCAAATCAATTTTTTCTTGGAGATAATATAGAAATGTTTTAATTCCATTCCAATGTCTCCATATTAAAGCAAAACTTATGTCTTACAAATAAATTTATAGAAAAGACTATATCGAGCTAGGTATAATTAGCAAGATGTCAATGCACCAATTGCACTAAGATATGATACTTCAAGACCAAATAATGCTTTGTTATCTTCTCTAAATCGAAAAAAAGGCTTTTTTGGATATCAAGTGAACGAACTATTATTGGATCGATCAATGGATGAGCTTTATATAGAATCATTATGAGACTTTTTCTATATAAATTGATCGATGAATAAAATTTTGTTCTTTAAATACTCAAACCGTGCAGTCAAGATAAAAGTTTATTTTCCAAGATATTTCATATCAAATTCTTATTTGAGGTACTTATGACATTTAGAATCTTTTCAGGAGTTTCAGTAATATTTAAATCATCAACATATATAAAAACTATCACAAACACCTTTTTGAATTTCTTTATAAAATTATGTGAATAAATGTGGTTATTTTTATAACTTTCTTTTAATAAATATTTATTAAAGTGATTATACTATATGCACACAAGTTAGTAATAAATAGTAGATATTGAAAAATAAAAAGAAATAAATATAAAAAGTATAGCATAAATTGAATTTTTAAAAACTAAAATAATAAAATAAATACTAAAATAATCCTTATGGAACTTTGTCTATATAAATTGACCGATGAATAAAAATCTTGTTCTTTAAGTACACGAACTGCAAGTCGAGATAAAAAAGTACTCATTTGAATAAAAAAGATGTTTAGCCGTATAAAAACTCTTATGTTACAATCTTGCTTTGTATCTCATAATCTCATCTTTTTCATTTTTTTTTTTCGCAAAAGTACTCATTTGTATCCCACTAACTAAACATCTTTAGGTGTTTTGAACTATGAGTTTAAAAACTTACTTATTTGTACGAGAATATAATTCCACCTAGATTGTTTTTTTCATTTACACCCATCATCTCTATGTTGACATTCTTCAATAAATTTAGACTTATGATCCTTATTTTCATTCAAAATATCAATTGCAACATTATATGTAAAAATCTTATCAATAAATTTTTTTCTCGTATTGACATAATTTATCAAAGTCTCTTGATTTTTCTCAAACATTTGGACTTCTCCTAGAAGCCTTTTCTTAGAAATATCTTGGATTGTTTTATGAATATTTACATCCTTTATATTTTCATTTTACTCTTTTCTTTTAGGGATTATTGCTTTTTAGAACTTATCGAGTTTTTCATGCTTCATGCGTGGTTTAGATTCATTTGTTATAATATTAATAGATTGTCCTCCTAGGATATCAATTCTAATAAGAGCATTCTCGGCGGGGATATGTATTTTAGTTACTCATTTAGGATTCGAGAATGCATATGATAGTTAGTTTGCAATACCTTGTAAATGAATTATCTTTTGAACTTCTAATTCATATTATTTTATACGAGAATCAAGATGATATAAGATAGAGTACTCCATGTAATTTTTTTTCAACATTTTCAACTACTTATTTTGCTTATTCTCTCCCCTAATATTGAAAAAACTATTTCATCAAAATAACGAGTCGATAAATCGAGCTCTAAAATATCTTTTGTTTATGGTTTAAGATATTGAATTATTGAAAGGATTCAAATCCAACGTATATTCCCAATCTCTTTTAAGTGCCCATTTTAGTTCATTATGAAAGAGCACTACCGATATATACCGCAATGCTAAAAATTCTTAAATAAAAATTATTTGGCTCATGATCAAAAGCCAATTGAAGGGGAAAAATTTATGGTAACTTATGGGACCAATGCGAATAAGTGTTAATGTATGTAAGATTGTATCGTCCCCAAATATAAACGGGGAGTTTTGTTTTTAAATAATGGTTTAGCTATCAATTAGAACCTTTTGATAAATGATTTAGCTAAACCTTTTTAAGTATGAACATGAGCAACATGATGTTCATCCTTTATTCTAATAGCCAATCAATAATCATTTAATGTTTAGAAGATAAATTCACCAAGCATTATCAAGAAGAATTATTTTAATGGCATAATTTAGAAATTATGTTTATAATTGAATTATTTAGTCTAACAATCTTGAAAACGTTAGGTTTCGAGTATATAATAAATATTCATATGATTATTTTATGGATGCACCTATTAAAATCATAAAACATTTAAATGGTCCATATGGTCGATGAATTGATCTATATATATCACCTTGAATACATTCTAAAAATAGTGAAGATTCAATCTCAATTTTACTTAGTGATGACTTAATAATCAATTTACCTCGAGAACATGCGGAATATGAAAATTATTAAATTGAAGAATCTTTTAGCTCTTTAATAGATGTCCATTTGAACTTTTAATAATTTTTCACATCATGAAAAACTCGGGATAACACAATTGGTCATGTCACATAATAAAGTATTTAAATTAGTAAATTTCTGATTTACTATAGCATTTGTTTCAATCATTCCAATATTTGTAATAAAGACTAGAAGAGAAAATAAATAATTTCTCTAATACATATTTTCTATTCGATGTAACTATAATATTTAAGTATTCAATATTTTTCACATTTGTTGTCTTAATATGATGTCCATTTACACAAATATCACCGAAACTCAATAAATTTCTATGAGACTTTAGAGAGAATAATGCATCATTTATAATAAAATTTATCATTTCGGATAATAATATATTCGCCCTTTTAGAGCCTTTAAATTTTATCACTTCAAGTAATAATATATTTACTTTTCTAAAGCCTTCAAAATTTATCTCTTCGAGTAGTAATATATTTGCTCTTCTAGTAGCCTTCAAAATTTATCTCTTCAAGTAATAATATAGTTGTTCTTTCCGGAGCTTCGTCGTTAGATTGATATTATCATATATGTTAGCACCTAATTTTTGCTCCTTTATTTATTTATTTATTATTATGAAAATACCAAAAGATTAAAAAAATAGAAAAATAGAAAAAAGGAAAAAAGAGAATTAGGGTAGTTAGTTTAGAAAAAGGGGTTTAATTGAAAAAAATAAAAAGGTTGGAAACAATTAAAAGAATAATTGAGGGCATAGAGGAAAAATCAAAGTTTCAAACCCTTTAATTAAAATGAGAATGGATACAATTGGAACTAATTAAAATAAAAAGTCTCAATTATGGGCAAGAGGAGGCTTAAATTAAAACACAAAAAACAAATTGAACCCAAATAAATGCATGGAAAAAAATCAAAGACCAAAGTGGGTTTTTACCAAAAAACCCTACCAATATAAAACCCCATGCATTTTTTTGTCGGGAGACTATTCATTGTCACCTTAAAAAAGGAGACCCAGCTGCTGTAATTT